TTCTTGTTTTTTAACCCATATATTTTTCTTGGAGGTTTTTGGCGAGGAAGCCAGACATTTCAAGGAAAAACTTTCGCTTAGAGAATGAATTTCATTGTATCTCTTCCAGAAAGGACAAAGTATCTGTTAAAGCAATGAAAGGAGACCCAGTTTTTTTACAAAATGTACTTTGGCTATCTCTCTCTCTCTCTCTAAATTTTTTAAATGAAAAAAAAAGTACGTAAAATTGGAATAGTGGCACAAAGTCATGAATAGTGAGCAGTGAAAACCGTTTACGTGCGCAAGCCTTTGATAAATGTGTTCAACTACTATTTATACTAATGGAAAAGCTGATTGATGGTCGGTGATGGCTATGGTAATGTTATTCGACATTCGAATTTAATTACAGCATTCATGATATTCATAATGTTTGCTTTTTATGTAATGAATATAAATAATTGTTTTCTTTTATTTTTCCCATTTGCTCATGATAGTGCGCATTATTTTTCTTATGAAACATTTAAATAAACATTAAGCCAACCTATGATATAATGTCTTTGTGTATGCCACAACCCAAGCCACCAAAGAATGAAATGAAGTTTTTTTTTTTTTTTTTTTTTTGTCTTCCCATTTTGCGTGACAACATAACATACCAGATGAAAGTATGACGGTTTATATGTCTCGGAAATAACACATAAACGTATGTACATATGTGTTTGATGTTGAAATGTTATCATAAAACATGCTAAACACCACTACTCGGTAATAGCCGTCATGAGAGTGCTTCACATTGGAAAGTACAAAATTTTTAGTTTAGATGTTTGTTGTTGTTATAGTACAATAGTTGTAATAATGATATATATATATATATATATATATATATATATGAAGACAAGGAAACAAAAAAAAGGAAAAGAGTTATTTTTCAAATGCATTTAAAGTACGTATGTGTCTTGGGTTAAAGTGTAAAAGAAATCATCAAGTCATTTGCTGATCTGTTATCCTATATCTCTTTTTTTTTTCTTCTGTATTTTCTGTTTTTGTACTTATTCTTTCATTGTTATAAGTTGTGTACTTCTCACTTTACAAAGAGATTCTTGTTTCTCCTAACACATATAAACGAAAGAAAGTCCGTTAGGCATGAAAAATTCCAATTTAAAATTCTATTAAAAATATGAACTGAAAAACCATCGCATATAACTATTAATACACATGCAAACATTAAAAGTTTCATCTATATATATATATATATATATACATATATGTACAAAAACGTTTTCATTAAAATAAACATAGAATTTTGAAAGCAGCAGTAGCAGCAGCAGCAGCAGCAGCAGGCCATAAATTATAATCGTTTTGATAAAGTCCTACAAGTATAATCAAAAGTACAGTTTGTTTTATTGTAGGTGTGCACATGCATGCATACGATTTTATACGGTAAATGTCTGCTTTTTACAATTATTATCGCTATGAAAAAAAAGAAAAAAAAAAAAAAAACGCAATCTCGTATATCTAGAAACGAAAGAAAGAGAGAAAAGAGTACGATTTGCTTTAGTCTAAAAAGAGACAGGAAGTGAATGGAACGCGAGGAAGAGGGTAAGAGTTAAGCGAAACAGCTAGCTAGCAGACAAGGGAGAACAAGGATAAAAACATACAGACATACAAATTTTGAATAAAAAATAATTAAAGTCATCTAACGTAACGTATACAATTTATATATATATACATATATATATATATATATATATATATATATATATAGCGTAGTACTATGAGTACTATGCATATCCTATGACTTGTTTTGAATTGTTAAAGTTAACAATAGTTTGCAAATGTGTACGTGTCTCACGTAGCACTCTTGAAAAAACTTGAACATTTTCTCTACACGCTTTAACGATTTTAATTACATTGCATATATAATAATAATTTATACATAACGACCTCTGAGTCGAACACTCCTAATATCTCTCCAATGCCGAAACGAAATGTTATAATAAATGTAAAACAAAAAAGAGAAAATATGAAATTATTTGTTACGAGATATTCTTACGTTCAATAGCGAAGCAGTTAAAATAAAAAAAAAGTTAAAATTTTATGTTTTAGTCGAGGTTCAAGATTTTCAAAAGTCTTTTAAATGCAGCGACGTTATGAAGTTCAAGTATTATAAACTTTATTCAGCTTAAATATAAATGCAAAATATCGTACTTGAAGCTATAGGCATTTCGCCTATCGTCCGTGATATCATGCTTCTTATATTAATTGTTTCAAGATGATTTGCTTACTTTAACTAAATTCTTTTCTTTTTTTTTTTTTGAAACAGTCAATGAAACGACACTTATTACGCATCTTCCCGAGCAATGCGAAATCTTTGATTCGATATAGTTATAAAACTTTCAATTATTTCATTATGCTATTTATTGTTCAACTTCCGCAAGCTGACAAACGTGATAGGAAGAAATCTAAGCCTAGGTGCATAAGGTTTTATTTTAGATCTTGAACTCAAGTTTGAGAATTGCCTTGACTCGTTCTCGAACGCGGCCAGAATTACTAAGAAAAATTCAAGATATTCTCAATCCGTTCGTTACCACGGTCCTCTTGGGGAGAACAATCGTCATAGCTCAAGATTTTTTAAACATCTTTACAGTTGAAAAAGGCGTTTATTGATGGCGATTATTAATGGAAACACTTTCCATCACTTTCTCTTCAACTTTTTGCCATTTTTCTGGCAACGTGGTTATGTGTGTATCGAAATAACGCAACTGATTTGGCAGTGATGCAATCATCGAATAATTTTCGTACTTCTTTAGCATTTTGAAAGCGTGTGGCAGCCAAGCGATGCTGCATCGACCATAGTCATAATCGCAAAGCTCTATGTCTGGCGCGTACGTTGCTTGCGGCAAAACTTCCCATTCAAGCTGCACAACAGTGCATATTTGACAACTCTTGGAATGTGTGGTCGAGCGTTGTCAAGCAAGACGATGACTTTGCCTCTGTTAATCGCTATTGCTGGTTCAGTAGACGTACGCCGTAACAGATTAATTCAGTTTTATCAGCTGGTAGTATACTACACCTTGTTGACCCCAGCATATGCACAGCGAAACTCCATGCCCATCAATATATTCCGCTCGGACGGCTCGTATCGGCTAAACCATAACTATTTTCTTTTGACATGTTTTTGCCTGGCAAGGAACGAAACCATCATGTTGAAACGGTTCGCAATGCCACTTTCAGACATCTCGTGTGGTAGTCATTTTCCCGCCTTTTCGATCTTTTCGTCTCGCAAGTAAACGTTTAGAAACAATTTATTCATTAACTGCTAAGCTGGGTCGGGTTTTCGCTCAATTGGTCTTGGCTTTGAACTTTTTTAGTCTTCCAGGCCATCAGGCATTTAAGCTTTTCAAACCACAACCGACAATTACATAACGATGGAGCTGCACTATAAACTTCTGCAAATGTTTGATGGGTTTCGACGGCAAATTGCTTTAAATCAAATAACAAAATTAACGAAGATCCGAAATGCAATTTTGAGAGTTCCATGATTAGCGTCTGTCTGTATACGCTAACCCGCTCAATAATAGTAACTGCTAAACTGTTATTTTATGTAAAGAAAACTCAAAAGCATCGAATTTAACCGTTGTGTACATTGATATTTCGCTGTACTCTGTCTACATCTTCACCGGTAAATGCTACCGATCAAGATACATGCAAGCACTACATCATACGACAACAGCCGGAACAGATTTTACGTATATGTATTGTGAGCAGTGTACACAGATAAAATAAAAGCTCTTTTAAATTGACGGAAACATACGATGTTGAGATTTAACAAGAAACGGTTGTGTCACATGTATGTTACGATTGGTAGCGAACAAGTTAAAGATATTTCTATAGACTGCTTTCAGTAACTTGTACGAAATTTAACAAAAAGTAGCCCTGATACGAATTTATTTATAGTGTTGAGTACACGATATGCGCGTTGTTCTACATTAGTTTGTCGCTTCTATAGTTTGCAAGTCTGTTTTTTTTTTTTTTAAGCATATGATTACGAAGCTGTTTGTCACTTTGTGTCCTTTTTTGTTCTTTCTTTTGTTAGCTATCGTCAATGGTATTAATAGTCTTTTAATTAAATTTGTTTCAATTTCTTGCAAAGAGAGATATAACAGAAAAGTATTTAAAAACATTCATAGAGCGGACTATTTTTTTTTCTTTTTTTTTTTCGATGCTAGGATTGAGTTTATTTGTGCATCATTGCGATGTTGTCAGTCCTGTACTGCGTAGTAGTCTATACGTTGCACACGGTTTCTCTTGTTTTTCCATACCTCAATTTTTTTTTGTCCGCTATTCGGAACTATGGCGCAGTTTATTTTATAGTAACCAAAAAGGGCAAAGCATGCATACAGTTTCAATACTCTTTTGAGTGTTTTTCGCTTTCCATGCAACTTTCCAAACTCCCGGTACATCATCAAGAAGATCAAATTCAGAAGAGATGTTTTTATGAAAACATAATTTAGGAGATGCGGTGTGGCGTGCAATCTTGATCTTGACGGGAAGTAAGAACTTAAGCACTTAACTTACTCCCTACCAACCGTCGTGTGAAAGAACATTTAGTTTACTTGCTTAGAATGCACGAAATACATGTACGCAAAATCTGTTCCAGTTGTTGTCATATAATGGCGAAAAAAGAACATGGATTCTGGCGGATGTTATGCCCAGGGGATCTTGATAGCGACCGGGTTAAAAAGTATACATGCCGATTCGAATAAATCGGTACATAATTTTCCACGTAAGGTAGAAACGAAGGAGGTCGGCGCATCTTAAATTGCCTAAACTAATTGCCAACAGCCAAACCTTAAATGGCCGACGGACAAGAGTATAGAGAATATTACTATGAAAAATGAAAGCATTATATTCTCCTTATATCTTATGAATCAAAAGTCGCTTAAAGCCTTGAAACGTTATCATCATAAAGTTACAAATTTTATAAAAAATTTTTCTCTTTTCTTGTTTTGTTCTCGTTACAGTTTTCGTGCATCTACGAGATGTCTGAGTGATATTAATTATAAATAAATGTAAGAATGCTTATCAATGAAAATTTTTCTAAATAATTAAAGCAATATAACAAAGTGCATTCAAAATTCTTTAATATATATAAATAAATAAAGATAAGTGAAGGCAAAATAAAACAACAAAATAAATAAATAAATAAATAAATAAAAAAAATAAATAAATAAACTAATAAATTAAGTCTTTCGCAAAACTAACTAAAGAGAGCAAAACAAATAGAAAAATGGGCAAGAAAAATTCGAAATTGAAGCAGGACACCATTGAACGCCTAACAACAGATACATACTGTAAGTATTACATTACTTTACCGCATACATATATGCATATATATGGAAAACAGGAAAGAAAGCTGCTATAAATCATTTCACGGGAAAATGCGATTGTTAAAAGAAAAGCAAAAAACATAAATAAATATGTTGTTATTGTTGTTATTATTATTATTGCTGTTGTGTTGAAACGTGAAGCAAGGCGGCAACGGGTAAACCAAAATCAAATCCTTGAACTTAATTTTCAGAAATTTTTGGCAAAAAGCAAAAAGGATTAGAAGAAATAATAATTCCCTTTGCTATTTCTAATGCACACACACACACACACAAACACACAACATGGGAAACAACAACGACGGGACGAATACACGGATACATTTACTTAGGTGTTAATGTGGAGTGGTACGATGCGTGCTCTGCACGTGCCAAGTAAAATATCTTTCTTAAGTGCGTTGTTCTTCTCTTCTCTTCTCTTCTCATTTTCTTTTCATTTTGTTCTTGGCAAAAAATCCTACTACAGTGTAACAATAATTCACACAATATTTAATTTACATTTCGCAGTTTAATTATACTCTTTTTCTCAAGACTTTAAAACATTTTAAAGAATCTGAGGTTTAGCTTAAAAGAAATGGAAGAAAATTTATGGATTCGTTTTCTTTGGGGCATCAAAAAAAAGTTTTCTCTCCTAAGGGAAGGTTTAAAGTTCAACAGCTTCACCAATACAAGACTTTTTATACATAGTTTATAAAGATTGGTCTTGGATAAGAATGGTCTTTTCCCTTTTGAAGAACTTAATACTTAATTTTAAATAATTAAATTAATTAAATTAAGCATGCAAGTTGAATTTACATAACTCTTTCCCAATAGAAGTTGGACTATAGGTTTTGCTTTATGGCAAATGTTTGGCTTTAAGAATTTCAGACGTGTGTGCATCATTGCCAAACGAAAAGACTTTTCGAACAACCGAATAAGGATATGTGTCAAGGCATAAGGAGGAAATTATATGATAGGACAAAGTTGCCTTCTCATCAAACTTCTATAACGAATTGATATTTTGACTTTTTTGCGACTCATAGTTCCATACATCACTTGTGCTCCAAGTATTAAGTTTGCGCGCAGAGGAACTTGAGATATGCTTATCTCTTATGAAGCCGATGTGAACTTATTTGTTTCGCTAACCATCGTTTGTTGGATTTTGTTTTTTTTTTTTTTTAATATAATAAATGACTCAGGCAATGCCACCTATTCGTGTAGCACGGTCGAGGCAAGGAAGGAGAGAGAAAAGCGCAAGAAATAGGGAGGTGGTGTCCGCAGCCACGTGGATGTGTACCCAAACGGCAAGCGTTATGCCTTCACCGACTGTGGCACTGCTCGGATTAAAATCAAATATCGTCTATGATGTCACGGTAGCGACATATGCGATATATGATATTGCTTGAACAATCGCACCTCCGAAGAAAGTGGTCCTACGATGGCTGCAGCCTAATGTCCGCATGAAACAGTTACACGTCGTGTAACTGCATTCGTTTGATGGCAATTGCTTGCACATTTTCCGAAATTATCTTGAAAATGAAAATTAGTTTCGTCGCTAGACATGATTTTATTTCGAATTGTAGCTCAACACTGCTCAACAATGTGCTTTGATGTAGCGTTCAATTTGTAATGATCAGGGCCACGTTGTCTTTGTTTTTTCCTTTTTTTTTTTGCGTTGACAACGTACCTATCGCACAAATTTGAATTTTGCATGAATTGTCTGATGCCTTATACTATTTGACTTTTCATACGCAATATAATGTTCCCGAGTGTAAATAATTTATACGCATTCATAAATCTGTATGCATAGCGAAATCAATTCATTCAATTTGTGCTGTTCAATAAATTTAGTTAAATAACTTTTCACATGCTCCCCAATATTATTTACAATTTAATAATATAAAATTTAAAGCACAAACCTACATATATCTATATATGTATAATGCATTGAGTTGGCAATGGGTGAAAATGATTGGAAATGGTATATGAGGAGAGAAGCATAGACATATGAAAATAATTACGTATTTAAAGTCACAGGTATGCAAAAGCCTTTCAATCTGTTTATATCAACAACTACAGTTACAAACACAAGTATTTACTGGAAATTCATTATGTACAGTTTGATCGGTGAGTGCATCGGTTTATTAACAGACTATAAAATTAATTAATTCAAAAGTTCATGCCTTGCTCGGCGATGCAAATAAAATTTGTTCTAAATAAAAGCCGCACGATGGAATGATATTACGTAAGTGTTACTAAAAGGCATCGTCAAGGATAATATCAAGAAGTAAGACAGCTATTTAGACGATGGCTTGAATCGCGAATAGCCATCCTTTGAAAAAGTTTTCGTGAAATAATAAATGAGTTTTAGATGGCATTACTCATCGATATCTCAAATTCATATTCTTTAGCAAGAATCAGTTTTTGTAAATTGTTTTAAAAATTACACTGCTCGTCTAATGCTTTATGGCTGTATTTCTGAGAACTGGACTGATAGCTGATAAATTTCGGCTATATATAATAATAAAAAATTTCTCGCGTTTACTTACTACATGACATTATGAAGTGTGTGCTCGAGTGCAATGTTGATTAAGCTGTTGATTAATAAGCTCTTGAATGTTTCCCCTCTCGAGATGATTATTAAGACGAAAATTCACTGCAATGGAAGGTACAGTTTAATGAGAGTTTTGACTAGTTTTCAAATGTCTACTGTTCCATAGAATAAATAGTAGACTTGAACAAGTTAAACCATCAACAGAAACTCAACATATGCCTCATGAAATATTCTTTAAAAAAGTAAATGAAATTCAAGCTGCCCTCTAAAAACACCATTTACTTGCTTTAAACTTTCACTGAAGTGAACTAGTATACGTTGAAAATACTACAAATAACTTACAGTAGGCACGGCTTACTAAAAAACTTTTGTTAAAACTTTTGCGTTTGTAAATTTAGAACTTAAAAATCATGCAAACATGGCTTGCTTTGTAAGCGTAAACGTTTTATTTAATAACAGAATACCATTATGTATAACAATTAAAGGCGTTTCAGTGCGCCCTACACCAATTTGCTTTCTTCTTTTCTTCATATAACGAATTTTCAAAATAAGTCATTATATTGGAAGTAATCGCGAAAGTGGTCCGACCAGCACCATTTTCAACAGCGTTGAGCACAAGACCACCAGATTGACAGAAAGTATAAAAAAAGTTGATCTATACCGAGTTCTTCCGAATTTCGTACACGTCTGCACCAACTTAATATGCCCTTGTAGGGTACAAAAATATTTCAGCATTTAGAAGGTATTTTTACAGCGTGCAATGCTTATATGACACCCTAGGTACACGAATCATATCCCAATATAGCATATGTAACTGCATGCATGCTAAACAGGGCCTCATACTATTAGTAGAAGAAGAATATGTAAATATGTAAGTAAGACAATTTCGTCCTAGAAAGACTGCAACTTGATCTATTGGAAATCAGAATATCTTCTCGCGTTTTCCAGTCGTCCGCCGCATTTCAAGCTTTCAAGTTTATGCATTTTAGAATATCAGTGAGATTCATTTTTTTCTTGTTAACGCTTTCAAAATTCAAAAATAAGTTTGAAACTCTGGTAATCGGTCACCTTGGATTAACTTCAGGGATATGATGACATAGTGAGAACCGTGAGAATTATATGCTTGGGTACATCTTTGAATTGATTCAATAATTTTTCAAATTGGCGATCCAGGATGAGAAGGACGGAAGGACGGAAGAACGGAAACCGAAAGAATTGCACAGAAAGTTTCCACATTATAGACGAGATTAGAAAGACCGAGAGAGAGAGAGTTACAGATCTGATAGATGTTTAAATTTTATATAGACACCATCTCACTCATTCCTATATATATATATATATATCTGATAGGGAATTTAATTGGCATAGCTTTCCAAATTCTGGTTGCTGTGTCTGACAATTCGAAATTCGTTTGCAAAAAATGAAATCTTTTATTTGATGAGGTTTACTTTAATGAGGTTTACAATGCATAATTAACTTCATCTTCCTGTCCTTGTCCCCGCTTTTCTCCATACAATTTCAGTAAATTTAATTTAAAATTAATTTTCTGCTGTGTGGTTTCTGTACACAATTTTCGCATTCCTTTAAATGTGCATTAAACCAAAAATGCACACATACATTACATATATTTACAACATATATATATACATAACTTTATATGCTAAAATTTGTCAAACAAATACTCATTTAAATAAAGGGGTCAGTATTAATAGCCATATAGTTTTATATTTGCTTCTACTATGAAAATTGTGATTATAAAATAATTCGTATAATAAATTTGATCGATGTTCATATACGGAGGGCTAAAGGTGTCAATTAACCCTTAGCTCGAATGCTGTTAAATTAACATTGATAATATTGATAGTTGATTTTGTCGTACTAACGATACTAATAACGACTTTGTCTGCCAGTCAGGTGTAATGGGTTTATGTTTCTGTTTTAATAAAGTGTTTCCGGTATTACATTAAAATCTTTAGTGTGTGTTTGATTAGATATTGAAACTTGTAGCACACACTGGGACATATCTATGGAAACGAATCATATTTGAAATCTCAAAGATTGTATATTTTTGGAACCGGAAGAAATGCTTGTCGCGTTCACACACACTTTTTCTGCAAGGCGACGCAAAGAAGTAAACATTCATCTTACAAAGTACGCGATTTGTTGAAGGCAAACTTGCTTGCTGCGACCCTGCTGCGTTCATGGAGAACCCTAAATAAAGTAATTTGAGATGAAGGATCCATCTGATATATAAACAATACAGCCAACGGGTAGGTCGTAAGCGTCTATCACCAAAAGTGAATTCAATTAGCTTCCAAAAAAAAGCTCCCTCCACCTTTAATATATCCTGTATATATCTGTTCTTATTAAAAAAATTTATTCGATTGAATATCTAGTGCCATTTGATGAGGTCGTACGGAAATTGCTGGGAACAAAAAAAATATAACCTATGAACAAGAGAGTTTATAGTCGAAGCGAGAAAAGCAAATCTCCATTAACGATAATGCTGCCGCTAATGAGCATATTAAACTTGAGTTCGAGCGAGGCTAACCCTGTTGGAAGGCAGCTCAAAAATTTGGTAAACCTCACCAATTCCAGCAACGTCTGAGTTTCGTTTCCTTTTTCTGGCAACACTAAACAGTTTTTGCCCAAAGTCACGCAGGGGACGCAACAATGAGGCTGATCCGATTCGAGAAAAAAACAACAAAAACATTGAAGCAAAATAACGCATATTGGAGTGCATAAGATGGCGGCTGGCTCCCCGATAAGAGTATCACAAATCCATTTTTCCGTCCGAAAACACAAATCTTTCTAGACACACGCAAACATATATATATATATATATATATATATATATATATATATCTTTTTTTTTTGAACAAGTACGGGTAAGACATAGGTCTATTGACTTTCGCCACACACTCATTTACATATGGTACATCTAAGAGAGGCGAATATGGTCGACCCGATATTTGAAGTGAGTTTAGAGCTACATGGATATATGGAATTTATGTTTGTCATATTTGTTTAAAGTTAACGAAAAACTTGATTTACTTTTTATGATAGAATAGAAGTGTCACAGACTACATTTTGCCCATTTTCATAACTAAAGTTTTCGGAGCAAACATAATTTGTCTGTGAACATTTTCTATCCTATATAAACTACACAAAAGTCTTAACCCATAGCCGTTTAGACGAATGATGGAGGAGAGAAGCAGAAGAAAACACTAACAAGAGCATTTTGGGTAAACATGTGTGCGCGTGCACGTCATGTTGTATGCACATGTGCCTCTTACGCCATTAACTTACAAATTTTAATTATTGTCTAAAGCAATGGTCAACAGCACAACATGTTTCAAGTGTTCATATATGCACGTTGCACGTCGTGCGTATATAAGTAAGCCTTAGGGAATAAAGAAGAAGAAATTTCAATTACTTTTAGTTAAATGCAATAATCTTGTCATTGTTATGCTATGAATATTTTAAATAAAAATTGAAATAATTGGCATTTACTTGCTCGCCTTCTCTACGTTACACACGACAATTATAAGCTTATAAGTTGTACATAGTGAAAAGTCCGAAAGCCGTGTTCGCTTTAGGGTTTATATTGAATATTTTTTATAATTTTGATTCTATATATATATATATATATGTAGTTATAACGAGAAGCTAACTAATCGATGTTTATTTTTCATATCGTTTCTTGTGAAATGAATTGTGACGTTGTCGAGCTTGCAATTGACACAACTGACTTATAGTAAGCAAATTGTAGTTACAGTTGCCGGATATTAAAAATGTTCACTTTGATTCAACAAATTGTAGGTTATTGGCTCCCTACCTTTCGGATACCCTTTAACACTATGTTTACTTTAAGTTCTACAACAAAGGCAGACATATCTGAATACTTCATGATATTTTCATCATTTAAAATATTACTAATTAGTAAATTTGGCCCTCCTTGGTAATACATCAATTTTCTGTTTGCGAATCCAAGCCATTTTAGATATTCAGCACCTCTAAGTACTTTACACCGAAACAATGCGTAGACTTTGACGCTTATGAAGAACGCCTCAAGAATATTTTTTCTATAATGAAGTGTGCTCACGAACACTTGCAGGCTCAGACTCACCCCATACTCCATTCCTCTTTCTGGTCGCAAAAATTCGGAGAATAAACCAAAATCCGCAAATTCTTAAGTTGCTCAGTGATCAGTGATCCGAATGACAGAAGAAACCAAAAAAAGAAATGTTTTTTTTTTTTGTATCAATTAGACAAAATCTTCAGATCTTCTCGAACCCATTTATTTAGTACGCAGAAGACAATTTCTTATAGCCCATTTCAGACGTTGATTTAAAACTTTAGCAGACATACGTTTTGACGATACAAAAGCCCAATGCAGACTCTGATGTGTCAATCGATGCAAAGGCAGTTAACAAATTGTTTACTAATGTCCATGTGTATGGCGGATTTAAAAGATCCGCGCCAGGATAGGTATCAAGCCATCTGAAGCGTTTGTTTTCAAAACTTGTAATTAGTCGTATATCTATATCTGCCCTGTGCCCTAAGTTAGAAACAGACATATAACTGTTAGTCTCTATTGCAAGGCGTCATAAATATGCGAAAAGATATGCAGAGAGAGGGCGTAGTCTGAATAGTAATCAATGCGAAAAATTCCGACAGATTAGACAAATAGCGTTTGAAATCTACTCTTTTTCTGTTGTAAGTACTCGCATAGATGCGATACTCGATCAATGTCCTTTCGAGGATAATCGCAAACATGATCTTAATAGGCAAAGTTTTTATATATATTCTCTTAAGGTAGAGAAGTAAGGTTACGAAGAATATATGGTTTCCCTAATTAAGGGCCTTGCAATGACTCGTTAGAAAGTTAGGTGTGATCGAATGTTAAATTATGATTACAATTATAGATGCGTCAGTTCTCGAAATTCGTTTAGAAGTCTCGTAAATGCTTCGACAGAAAATTTAGCCAAACTTACGCTTTTTTAATCCAATTAATACCTGAATTTTATGAGATCCTGTTGCTAGAAGAAATCTTGAATAGCCATAAACAAAGGTGTAGAGTAAAATGAATACTAAAAACAGTGAGAAATAACTCTTGCGTTGCTTATAAATGATTTTTGTCTATTGAAATACTACTAAATGTGTTTAATGGATTCTTGAATTTGATAATAATGAAAAGTGTGTGACGAATAATGATGAATATATGAAATTGATGGAAGGCTGTTAGAGATTACCGATTATATAATCACTTTCTATAATCATTTTAATCATTGTTCAATATTACTTTCTTGCAATTATCAAATAATCTTAGCAAAGAGACGGACACAAGTACGAAAATGAGTCAACTTTTAGTGAAGACAGAAATGTGGGCGAAACGCGATAGGATGATTTCACGCCAGTGCACATAATTGATGTGAAATTCGGCATTTATGTGGACTGGAAAATATTGACAACTTGAAATTGAAAGAGATGAGGATGAAAGAGATATATATATGCAAAGCTGCAACTGATCAGCTTTATTAAGTGAATCAAATTTTTATAATTACAATTTGTTTACTACTCATATAAACAAATGGGATTAATAAAAAATTTCTTTGTTCTCATTTATTCATTTCGTTGCAGTCACCGAAAAAGAAATAAGACAATGGTAAGTCTTTCGTAAGCTACATTCTTTTCTTATCTTGCATACATTTTTTTTTTTTTTTTTTTTTTTTTTTTTTTACTTTAGGTTTAAGCTTTGTTTTCATTTTTAAAAATTCCACTATCTATGAACTGAACTCTATCGTCTTTACTTTTCTATTTTCTCTTTTTTTTACTTTCATCCTTCTTTTTCCATTTTATTACTTAGGCACAAAGGTTTTCTAAAAGACTGTCCGAACGGTTTACTTACAGAACAAGTAAGTAATTCTAAGAGTATTTGTGTTTATGTGAGCCTACGTGCGTGCATGCGTGATTATGTATGTGTGCGTGTGATGCGCTTATATTTTAACAGAAAAACGCTACTTATCAAAGGATAATGCTTTACTTAAAAAGAAATTAAGGATTAGCAGCCATAAAAACTTTGCATAAAATTCTTGTAAAGTAAGAAAGAAAAACGAACGAAAATATATGAAAAGTAAATCGAAACCGCTGTTCAAATTATAGAAAAATAGTATATTTTGTTGTTGGAAACCACGTTTTATTTTTCACTGCACAGTTAGAAGTGATGTGCTACAAACATACTCTTCTCCACGACTCAGCTGCTCTTGCAGTGTTGCCATATCGCGATTATATTACATATAATCTAGGATTTCATATAAGTTAGCAAAAGGAGTACGAAGAGAATGAAGGACAAAGCACTTATCTCCAGCAAACGCTATATCTTAGAGTGAATTTCAGATGCTTACCACGTGTGCTTACTTTTTATTATATCACTAATTTTCTTTATGTATTAGAAATTGCGTAGTTTATAAATAGCATCAGAATCGAATGAGCTCCACAGTGCAGGAGAACTTAAGCAATTGAACGAAAATCGTGCCCAATCACTAACTTAAGTCGTTTCCTTCTCTAGTTCAATCTCTACTTAAGACGTCAATAACTGAACGCCAAATTCTTGCTTAGGAATATTCCATCTCAACGCGTAGAAACGATAGAAAGAGATCAGGTACAATATTCGCAAAGAGCCTTGCCCTCAGCTCCTCAGTTTTACCACAGATTGTATGGTAAGCGACATCGTCGCTTTGAACTTACTTATCGAAGACTCGATAGCCTTACAATTTTTCCACACCTTGCTTGATAAAAAGTGATGTCAATTGATTCCCTTCACGTAAACTCAGCATTAAATAATCAATTTCTACGTCTATGATTACACTGGTTGTGTAGCTTCAGGTACTTTTATCCTTCTTTGAGGCACAACTGGGACACGATGCTGAGAAGGATTTTCTTTTTTTGGGAATAATATTTATCTTCTTCGATACACAGTTAATATCGTTCGATTTGAAATTAAATACCTGCGTGCGCGCATGATCCACTTGAGTATGACCTCCGGTTGAAGGAAACTCGCGCATAATTTACGGAAAGCTTCTAACAAAAATACTTAACCTTTAAGATTACAGTTTGGATGATCCTTGCGTTTCACCATTACGCCGTTAGAGAAGCAGGTGTACGTTGATAAGAATTGTTTCACAAAATGTGCGACTCTTCACTCATCCGCGAACGGAACTAACGAAATTAGGAGCCGCCTATAGGACGAAAGATCGGACATTTATCCGGATTAGAAAATATTGACCAAGTTGCAATTTTTCTATATTTCCTTCATGTAGGTGATAGGGTACGGTACCTGAAATTCGCTTCAAAAATGAATGTAACATTTTTCCTAAAAAGCTTTCACTCAGTCTAAACTGAGTGTAAAAAACCTGAGGAGTAAAAAATACCTCATACCATAATTGTGCTTTCTCCATGTAATTATAAAACTGATGGCATCTAGAAGAACAGAGAGCATGTGCACTAAAGTGTATTGCACGCTTAAAGTCGAAAATGTAATTGAGTTGACAAGAGTTATGGAAACCAAAAGGTTTATAAGGTTCTGGTAAAATTGAAATCGTTTTCAGCGTCACAAAGTGTCCAAAGAAGAGATTCGATCATTAGCTGATCCTCATAATGCATTGAAAATTAAATTCTCTGCGCATTCATTTTCATAAAAAAAAGAAGCGTTAAGCACAACTCTTCAGAGCGATATATAATTGATGTCTTTGAATAAATTCGAAACGGTAGCAATATTTTCATGTGATCTTTCAATAGGTTCCGAATTACGATTTGGGTTATTTTGTAAAGATGATCGATATGCCTTATCATACACAGCTAAGCAATAAGATGCGATTGCGTATTGGTTCCACAAAAAATGTTGACATGAGATTTTAGCAAATAGTAAATCTTCAAATAAACGCAAACCGGATAAGAGATCTGTTAGACTTGTACGCAAGAATAGAATATTTTTTGCTTTAATTAACTTTCATCATCATTGCATTGGTTTTCATATTTTGGAAACCGTATGTATAATAGTTACATAATCGAGTATATAAAAAAGTGCTTAGGGACAAGCAAATTGGATTGAATTTCCGGGTTTGTTGCAACAAACATATAAACAGAGTACACGTTAGCTTTCGATACTGAAGAGATCTGACTCTCTGTGATTCTATTTTTTATTTACTTATCTATTTTTTTTTGCTTTCAATTACTTCACCTTATCCTGAAGTTAAGCACTAGCAAAATGTATGTATGCGTATAAGTGTACTTCTATATATCGCTATATGTAGTGCTAAGAATACAAATCTGCCGGAAGTGTTTTTCAGTCATACAGTAATATAGAACAAAGAAAAGAGAGAAAACCAAAAAAAAAAAAAAAAAAAAAAAAGAGAGAGTACCTCAGCTAGTTTGTGCGACCATTAAGGGAAAAAGTCTGCAACCATTACGATTAGACAATTTTTTATTCTATTTTAACTTTTTCTATTACGCCACTGCTATGCATTCGAAGTATTCATGCATTTTTATGGACATATATATATATATATATGTGCTTTATGTGCTTTTTGAAATTGTTTAATATTTCCTTCTTTTTAACAAATGAAAAATATTACCGTTTTTTTTTTTGCTCTTCTTTTCAACGACGCCCACAATTCTTGGGTTTTTCATGCTTATGAAGTTAGCTCTGTATTATAATATTCTTGACTTTCGTGCCTTTTTGCTGAATAGTTCCTCAATTTAATAAATATTTTTGTGTGTATTTAAGTATCTCTGTGGAAATATGTGAAATATTTATATATATATATACATATATATATATTAACGCATATAATGTAATTATGTAATTTATTATTATATACTATGCCATAGTTTATATGCTTGTTTGTTTGTTTGTTTGTTTATTTTCTCATATTTCTTAAAGGGTTTTATAAAGATTTACAAACAATTCTTCCCCCAAGGAGATCCTAGTAAATTTGCCTCATTAGTGTTTCGTGTTTTCGATGAAAATAATGTAAGTACTTACATGTATATCAACATATATATTTAAAAATTTTAAAAATGCAAAAAAAAAATGTAAATAAATAAATCAATTGAAAGTTTTCGATTTTCGCTTTTTGTTCATCATACATCAAGGTAGCCGCGAAAATCGTTCATTGACACAGCAGATATTACCCCAAACGCAAAACAGTCTGCAATTAATCTTTTCATTAAGTATTTCTTATGCGTATTTTCTTCTTATGTTCCAATATTCAATCTTCAATATTAAATTTTATCTATGACCTATGCCGCTTGCATTAAGGCTTTTTTCAACTAGAAGAAGAGTCAGTTAAAATTTCTCATTCAATAGAACTATTATTGCGAGAGTTGTCTGCTAGATGTCGCGTGACCTACTTATAGTGTCACCAATCACTCATCTGCCCATTCCTCCTTGGGTATGTGGTATTGCCAGATGCGATAGTTTCATTTATTTACGTATAAAAAATTACTTTTGGGATTCTGAGTTCTTCTTTAAAAGGATTGGCCGACAAACTTAACTAAACCAACGGATGATTTGGCGCACTTACATGAAACTAGAGGATTCTTTGGTCCTTTCGATCAATAAGATAACATTTTTTTTTATGTCTTTTGTTTAAAAAAAAAAAAAAAAAAGCAAACGCTTTTCACGTGCACTTGAACAAAATTTATTCCCGATATTCATCGTACATGTACACTTCGTATAGTTGGCATTTTAGTTCAACTAAACTATTCCGAGATCACTTTTAGTTAAAATGGAATAGAATTTTAATTTAGTTTGATTAAATGTAAAAGATTTAACTGATGCATCGATTTGTTATGTTTATGCAAATCGAACATCAGACCTATGAATATGTATATACGTACTGGTCAAATTGTGTGTAATTAACATGAATTCATAATTGCATTAACGGGTCTTTATTTAATATTTTAAATTAATTTTTCGTAACTTTAGGACGGTGCGATAGAATTCGAAGAATTCATCAGAGCTCTTTCGATTACATCAAGAGGCAATTTGGATGAAAAACTGCAATGTAAGACAATAGTTGATAAGAAAATCATATTCGTCTTAGGACGAATTCTAAATACCCATCCACCAAAATAGAATATATATATATATATATATATATATAGTATATGTATTAAAGTCAGTTTACGTTTTATTCTTCTTTGCTAATTGTGAGCATATAACATATGTACATACAATCAGAAATTTTTATTTATTTAAATGCATTTTTGCACGTCCAGAGCAACGATAACATTAACTCATGTACGATCTCCTTGTAACGTACTCTAACTATGTTTTAATGTCATTTAATCAAGAGTTACCGCACCTTCAATGTTATGCGATTCTTTAAAATAATCATTTGTACTGAACTTGCGACAGAAAACATACAAAATAATAACTATCATGCGAGAAAGGCGAGATGCGTCTCGTAATAAAGAAACTTTTTATTATAATAAGCCCTCTGGTCGCCCACGCAGCTGCTATATTTAGCATTCGATAATTGTCGGCCTTTGAAAGGCCTGAGCATGAAGCTTTTTAGAGACGGCACAGTCTTTCTAATCAGTGTTTGCTGAAGAGTACATAAGAAAACAGATGATAACAAAAACTCTGCGAACTAACAACAGATGTCCATGGCTCGTCTGCAGCATGGATTCAATATGGATATCAAGTTTCGCATCGTCACTTGCATAAAATTATGGACGATAATACCGGATTTATCAGTGAGGACGTCCCTGGCCGATATTCACCTTCTTAGGTTTAATTCTAGTCCTAACAAGCATCAAAGTTGAGCGGATAATATACATTTGTCGACTAAGCGTCCTAAATGTCGAACGTCAAGAAAGTCGAACCTTTACCAATACTCTTGGTTACAATTGTAATATGCTTTTTAATATATAAATTTGTATATCTTGCTATAAAGTACCTATGATATTTTTCTGGATTTTTCCACAGGACGTTCAATTATATGTCTACTGCAACAAACGTAAAAAGCAGTCGCGTACAAGAATCCTCTTCTATAGGAATTCTTAATATACAATTTTAGATTTGGAATATGCACTATTGCATGACTTAGTGTTAAGGGCCGATGAAGCCGGAGAAAACGGACAAATGTAAATATCGTGTAAATATATTTATATATATACATAGATATGTCTAGATGGCATTAAATGCATTAAAGTCCACATGTCAATGTTTAAAAGTAAGAGAATTTGAGAAATTGAAGTGACTATACGGTACCAAATAATATAAGATCAGAGAAAGGGAAAGGTCGAGTGGTTTGAAAAGATCTCATTACCGTCGTGAATTTGAATTTGGGTATTATTAGTGAAGTAAGTATTAAAGTCTCTGGCCTTCTTATGTTTGTGTACCAATAGTGGGCGTGTTTGTAGAAAAATATTACATCACTTGTAGGCAAATTTTCGAAAAGCAACGAATTTTGCTTTCCGGCAACACTTTCCAGATCTTATAGGCTCTAACAGGCGATTGACGGAAGGACACGTAATAGGAAATCTCGACTTAGAGGCGTACTAGCCCTTCAAAGTTTTTTTTTTTTTTATTAGTTATTGCAACGATCTGACAATGTTTGCATGTCTTGGTATCCTGCGGTGGTGGTTATAAAAAAAATCATTTTTTCTGATTTTGAAATGTAAAATATTGATGTGATCTGCTTTTGTTCATCTTAATAGGGGCCTTTAGATTGTACGATGTTGACAACGACGGCTATATAACAAGAGAGGAAATGTACAATATTGTAGATGCCATCTATCAAATGGTGGTAAGTAGAGATCAATATTAATATTTTTGCATTAAATTTTTTTTTTTTTTTTTTTTGTGTTTTTATAACTAACTAAACGTTTCATCTTTCGCTTGTCTTCTCGTCTTATCTTCTTTACCCTTTTCTTTTTCTTCTTCTCTTTTTTCATCTTCTTCTTCTTCTTTCTTATAACAAGGGACAACAGCCACAAACTGATGATGAGAATACGCCGCAAAAACGGGTGGACAAGATATTCGATCAAATGGATAAAAATCATGACGATCGTCTAACATTAGAAGAATTTCGTGAGGGTAGTAAAGCTGATCCACGTATAGTACAGGCGTTAAGTTTAGGTGGTGATTAACCAAAAGATTCTTAGTTTAATTCTGTTACAGATTAAACGATACGAACAAAAAAAAAAACAAAAAACAAAACAAAAAAAACAAAAGAATAAAATGAGAGAAAAAGGAAACCAGAAAATATGGAAAGAGAGTAAAAATTTGATGAAAAGAAGAAAGAGGATTTCATTTAATTAATTTATTAACAAATAAACAAAGTGTCATACATACGTAGAAACAGAATATACTAAAATCAAAAATCGTTTAAGAAAAAAACAAAAAAAAAAAAAGAAACTAAAGGATACGCCTCGCGTTTTATTAACAGAAAAAAAAAAAAAAAACAAAACGAAATCAATACTAAATAAATTAAATCGTATTTAAATAATTCAGGAAAACACTTTACATATTGTGTATACAACACATACATGTGCTTATATTCTCGCTCAAAAAAAAAAAATAAAAATAAATAAATAAATAAAAAAAAAGAAACACTTTAAACATAAAACTTTTAAACACACTTTAGAATATTCAAACACAAAAACCACACACATATTCCAAAGGAAAAAAAAAAAAAACAAAAACGCACACACATCCAACTGCAAACCTCACACATAAATTACAAGCGCATACCAAAACATGTTGTTATATAAGGATCTAGTGTGTTAGCTTTGTAAAAAACAAAAAAAAAAAAAAACAGTCATATGAGCAAATGCAAGCCTTGCTTGATAGGCGTTTTTCGATACATGCATATAATTGTTCATCACGCTCAACAGCAAATGTTGTTCAAGCCATATATATATATATATATATATATATATATATATATATATGTATATAAATACATAATTAACAACAATTTTGATTAAAGCAAATCATAATTATAATAATAATAATAGTTTAAGTCTATTGGAAAACTATTTGAGGAAAATTTAACACCAATTTATAAATAAATTAAAAATTAAACAAAACAAAAAAAAAAAAAAATAAATAAATAAATAAATAAACAAAGCGCTTTTCAACGAATAATATTTTCATACACCTCCATATATACATAAATCTAAAAAGTAGTCTTAAATGTTGTTGTTACAATGTGTGTTTTCTTTTTTTTTTTTTTTTGAAAGCATTTTTATAACAATTTTGATCAGAAAATCGTACGATATATTGATATAAATAAGATTTGGTGGATACTTAAAAAAAAAAAAAAAAATTTATTTTAATTTTCCTAAAACTCTTGTTCATATATGCAGCTAATTGTATCTTTAGCCAATTAACAGCAAGCAAAAGCTAGATTTGATATATATATATATATATATTTATATACATATATATGTCAAATGAATGATATATGGGATAGATAATACTATGATAATCGTGTTTGTCCGTTTGTTAAACATTTCGCATACACATAGAAGTTAATGACAGCAATCGGTCGACATGAAGCTTGAAATTTTAGTCGGTCGATAGTTGATGGGACTGGATCACTGGACTTGGCACGACTAGGGAGTTTGTTATTTTATAGTTTAAACATGATTTGGATAAATTTCGGTTTCTTTTATGAAAGCTTTTTTTTAAAAGCTAACAACAAAACAAAGAAAGTATGAGACGCTAAGTTAGATCGAAAGCATGTTGGGCAGGTGGGCATAAATTCCTTTTCAAATGAACCGTGAGATTGGCAAGATTTTTTTTGTGTAGATTATCCGTCAATGCTAGTACATGATGGTAAACGTATTCATGAAGTGAAACATTTCATGAAGAATATGAGGAAAGTAATAGTAGTAGTAGTAGTAGTAGTAGTAGTAGTAGTAGTAGTAATAGGAGTAATAGTAGACAACGTATGCCTTCAACTGTTAAAGTTCATTCAGTTAAGCGTAAATAAATGAGTTGTGAGCAAGGCTTCATTTTGACAGAATGCGTAAATATTGAACGTAGAGTCACTTAACCTAACTTAATCTCTATTATCGATTATAGAATTAAGGCAGATTATTAAAATGAGAGAAACCGGTTACCTTTTATGACAAAATTGTAGATCAATTAAAGTCGCAAGAGATACCATACCGACTAATATCAAAGGCAATTTGCTCAAGATACAATAGATTCGTCAGCAATCGTCGTATCGTGTCATTCATTCATTCTTAAAATTTTGTAATGACTAAAGTGAAGTAGTGCGTTGTTGCTGCAACGTCTATTACCATATTCTAATTTCAATTAGGTTTTCAAAAATTCCTTCGATAATTGTTATCGAATTTTGGTATTAAAATAAAATATTATTTATGATGAAATTTTTTTTAATTAATTTTTTTTTTTTTTTTTTCAATTACAGCGAATAAAAGGTAAACACATCAAAAAAAAAAAAAAAAAAAAAAAAAAACTAAAATTCCAGGCATGTTTTGTATTTTCGCTTTTTTTTCATTTAGCAATAATCGAATGCATGTTTTTTTCTTTAGCAAATGAAAATTTTTAACGAACATTATTAAATTTAAAGTTAAAATTTTATACAAACCAAAATTAATAATTCTTTCACACACGAACAAACACATTTAAACTTTCTCCTTCGTCTTTTCACCTCCTCTCTATTAATTACTAGATAATAAAAATATAAATTAAAAAAAAAAAAAAATTAATAATAATAATAAAAATAATAATAATAATAATAATGATGATAATATTAAAAAAACAAAATGAAATCTATATTAAAAAAAAAAAAAAAAAAAATATCAAGTTTAATCACCATTCTAAAATAATTTCTTTAATTTATATGTGGTTCAGCTTTATATACTTGTTTTTTCCTCTTTGCGAATATATTACGTGCGTTTTCTTGGCACAAGCATACGTATATTCATACACAAACGCAAACACATATTCATACGCATTCATAAAGGTACAGACCCGGCCATAAACAAAAACACAGACACACGCACGCACATATTAAGATAGAGACAAACAGACAGACAGACAGATAGGCTGATAGACAGACAGACACATACACATACACAAACAAACAAGTCCCTACACAAGCATATGTATAAATTACTTGCTATGCCTGGGAAATGTACGTAAAATGTATGAGCTCTACACACGTGCATTATTATTAAGTTTTCTATATTTTCCACTTTTATAAATAAATTGTAAATTTATTTAAACAATATTTTATATGCATATGCATATATATATATATATATATATATATCACAGATGTATGTAATAATTATATATATATATATATATATATATACATATATAGATAGATACATAAATGGATTCACATACACATATGTGAATCACCTATATCTGTGTATATACATGTATATATATGCCTATATATATATATATATTCTTAATCGATGTTATTGTTGTATAAATCGACATATATATATATACATTTCTCTTTGTGTAAACAGTTGAAAATAACGTCTTTTCATTTCTTATTCTTGATTATATTAGAAATTTCCACATTTGTACATTTTTCCTAAATTTATCGCTTAAAATCTTCAGTTTATTTTATAAACTTGCTTTTCTCGCTTTCACAAAAAAACTAATACATGCTTTAATTTTGTTAATATCTACCTATATGCATATACCTATGTATATATATGTTATATACATGATATATACACATACATTGTAGAGATCTCTTAACGCCCCGTAATTCCTTCATTTTCAAAATTAATTTCATATCGCTTTCATTATATATAAAGATAACATTAACGATGGGTTTTAACTTCGAATAGAAAGAGAATGGTGTAACGCCGTAAGCATAAGCATAGAAAATCAAGTAACGTAACGTAAACTTAAATATAAACGTTACACGTGAAAATATATACATCAATGGTTTTTTTTTTTTTTTTTTGGTTACTTTTTTCAATAAAAAAAAAAAAAAAAAAAATGGTCTATGCATTATTTGGATTCACTTATATAGCGGGAAGTAGAGAGGAACAATATAAAAAGTGGTAAAAGATATCGCAAAATTAATTTACACTTGCTGATGCTGACAACTGACGGCTTAGCCGCTAGATGGCATTCGTAAGAAAACAAGTAATATTCGGCCGTGACCTCCGTGAATCTTTTATACCAATCACCGAAATCGTGGACGAAGGTACAAAAGTCGGAATTCATCTGGCGTATGTGTTGTAGTTTATGAGTAGCAAGCAAAGAACACCGAGAGTAAAAAGTGTTTACAGTTTTTGTTAAATAGAGTTGTGGGCGTTGTAGGCGTGTTTTTTTAAAAGTTTGGGTCATTTTTAAATGCCATTTCAAGTTTGTAGGGGATATCCGCCTTGTTGCAATCGGGGGAACATTCACATTCGTAGACACTACACTATTGTGCCGACGCGCAGATGCACAGATAAACGGACGGACATGCTTAGGTGCATTCCCAATTGGAACTGGCCAAGAATTTACATAATTTGCAGCGTCTTTGAAACTTGCTTCGGCGCGCTATACAGGTTTAAAAAAGAAAATAAATGGAATTATTGAGTAGGCGTGGCCGATATTTTTTATTGTTTCACAGTTACCATAACATCAAACATAAAATATACATTTACATTTTTTATGAATTTATCTGCGATAGTTTATGAGTAATGAGGTAAAAACCAATTTTTTATTCCTTTTGAAAAACAGAGGTGTCGTCACTTGACGTAGTCCTGTAAGCGCGTCTTTCTAGCAATTTTGCCTATTTTCAATATCGACTTACGCGCGATAATTTCCAAGTTTTCTGCGAAACGTGAATTTTGTGTGGCAACGATAATGTTTACAACAGACATTGCACAGACGGACAGACGGAAATGCTTAAATCGATTTAGAATTTGATGCTAATCAAGAATATATATATAGTTTAAGGGGTTACCTGAAGCTTCCTTCTGGGCGTTGCCAATGTTTTGACAAAATGAATACATCCCCCCGGTGATGGGTAGAAAAATATTCATTTTCTAACATTTCCTGTTGAATAAAGTCATTGCTTTAGATGTAGGTATGAAATTTCTCGTCCCAGTTGGACTTTATTGTTTACGTATCCCACCAATTCAGAAACGAACACCTTTCGATGCATTGTTTACCGTCAAAGCAGTTCCATTCTATAGTCTTTCCAGCCTATGCACGTTTATCGCAATTTAACGAAGAAAC